CTAATTCAGCTATGCTATCGTCTAATATTTTATCTAGCACAATGTCTGCAATGGTTGGCGATAATGGGTTCCCCATGGGCATACCATACATGCTGATATAGGGTATTATTGTGTTTGAAGTAGTTGTTGTCTCTTAAGCAAAACTCTAGCATCATCTGGAAATAATTTTTTGCAATGTTGGTGTAGTTTTCCAATGTTTTCCATTTTTTCATGATAATTTGTATGGCGAACTGCGTCGGGATATTCGTAAATAATGAAATTACATCAAAAGATACTAGAATTTCACCTGCTTCTACTGTGACACCTTGGAGATTTTCTTTTAATTGATAAGAGTTTTTTATATTGTATGTATCTGACGTAATATTTCTTAGAATATTTCCCATAAGTTTTGAAAGTTTGAACAATGAAAGCTGCAATAAATGCTATATAGGCACGCGAGTTTTGAACATCGAACGAGGAGAAAGAAGGAGAATGACACTGGAAAGCCTACGAATACAACAGAAACTTGACAATGTGATGAATTTCAAAGAAGATGTGGACAACACAAACAACGCCTACACAGCTATATTAAAATCTAGATATAAACAAAACAAAAAGAAAGTAATGTAAACTCGCTGCGCTAAAACCATGTAATTATTGTTGTTTAATGGGAATAATTGTAAAGTGTGAGTTTCAAATTCTGATGTGTATGTTATGATAATTGTTAACTATGTTTATTTTTTATTGTTTATCGTTCAAATAAAGCAGACTCCCTGAGGAAGGCGCGAAATGCGTTGAAACGCGTAGGAGTAAAAAAGGAAAATTTTATTTTCGCTTTAATTCCAACGGCCGAAGTAGCTCATACCCAGCACACAAAAAAAATTAAGTTTGTGGTTATATGAATGCGAAATTTTGAGAACGGTCCGTTGCTAACTCTAAATATAAACAACGACGCACTGGAAAAAGTTAATACGTTCAAATACCTAGGAATAATGATCGACGATAAACTAAAACAAAAAAAAAAATGGATTCTATATTTTCAATTAGAGCTCTAGCAATATGTACATCGGTGAAAACTGCATTTAACTCCATACATTAGCTTTTGCGTGATGCGCTTACAAACATACAGACAAACATACCAAAATTTTATATTTGGCTTCTGTTGATCTAATAAACCCCCTATTAATTTTTCTTTAACATCTATTATGTACAGATATCGGCCTGTTGCAATTTTATTATTCTCAAATACTCTCGTTTGATACCCATATGGCAACACTTAGTTTATATTATAAATTTAACTGAATTAAACTTTTCAAATAAGTGGCAACCCGCTTCAAGAATATTTCCAAAGTTAAGCTTCCTAATCCTCTTTAGTTTAATATTCGTATTACAATATTTCATTTATTTCACAAATTTTAATGAATACAATTTTTCAATCAGTTGGCAAATCCCCTAAAAATATTTTCAGCATTAAAATTTCCTAGCCTCTTTAGTTTGATGCCAATATTGCAATATTTAATTTATGCAAAAGTAAGCTTCCTAATCTTTTTTAGTTTAATATTCGTATTGCAAATATTTCATTTATTTTACAAATTTTAATGAATACAATTTTTCAATCAGTTGGCAAATCCCCTAAGAATATTTTCAGCATTAAAATTTCCTAGCCTCTTTAGTTTGATGCCAATATTGCAATATTTAATTTATGCTATCAATTAAATAAAATTAAAGTTTTCAAATAGGTGGCAACCTTCCACAAAAATATTTTCAGCTGTAAGCCTTTGTAAATTACTTTCTTTTGACAGCCATATTGCAGTATTCACTGTAAACACAGGTGGCAACTTTCTAATTTTTTCTTCAATATTGGAAGCTAGATCTCTAGCGATACATCGGTGAAAACTGCATTCAATTCCATGTTTGCACCTGATGCGCGTACAAATATACAGACAGAGAGATTCAAAAATTCTAAAAATTGTTTATTTGGCTTCTGTAGCTTTAATAAAAACCCATCATATTAATTTTTCTTTAATATCTATAAGGTACAGCCATCGACCTGTTACAATTTTATTATATGTATAAATGTAGATACAGATTTCATTTATTTTATCAATTTACTACAATAAAATTTTTCAAACAGGTGGCAGCCCTCCCTAAAAATATTTTCGGCAATAAAATTTCTTAAACCCCTTCAGTTTGATACCCATATTGCAATATTCGATTTATCTTATAAATTAAATTAAATGTAAATTTTCAAACAGGTGGCAACTCTAAAAAAATATTTTTGGCTGTAAGCCTTCCTCAGCCTCTTTCTTTTGACGCCCATATTGCAATATTCATTTTTTCTTATAAATTTACTTACAACTCCAATTTTCAAACAGGTGGCAACTCTCAAATTTTTTTCTTCCTATATTTTAAGTTAGACCTCTAGCAATACACCGGTGAAAACTGCATTCAAATCCATGCATTCGTTTTCGAGTGATGCGCGAACAAACATACAGACAGACAGACAGACAAACAAAAATTCTAAAAATGGTTGATTTGGCTTCTGGTGATCTAATAAAGCCCCCCACATTAATTCTTCTTTAATATCTATAATGTACAGACATCGACCTGTTACAATTTTATTATATGTATAGATAATAATAATAGACCGAGCTTCTCCTCCGATTTGTTGCGTGCGCCTTGATGTTGTCACACAGAGCGGAGGGACCTACAGTTTTACGCCGACTCCGAACGGCGATTGTATTTTTATGAGAAGCTGGTTTTTCATGGCAGAAATACACTCGGAGGTTTGCCATTGCCTGCCGAGGGACGACAGCTGTTAAGAAAAAACCTTTTTTCCATATTTTTTGCGATGTTGCTTTGACCAGGGTTTGAACCCAGGCGTCGCGGATTGGAAGCGCGCACTGCTTACCACTACACCACAGCGGCCGACACAGCGGCGATTCATATTAGTGGAGAGAAAATTTCGAAAGAAAATTCGCCTTGGTATCGGCTTTCGATACGAGTATTTTTTCGATATCTACTCAGTACTTGGTTCAAAAGTATCGATACCAAAATTACTTGGTTTCGAACGAAAAATATCGAGTATGTACTTGTATTTACTCGTATCGTTTCATCCCTATTGATGTGTTGTATGAAACGCTCAGAATTTTAATTCATTTTTATCATAAAAGAACTAATTTGTCTTGACTATGATGTAACTTGGAAAAATGCTTGGCGAAAGCATTTGTGCCATTCCATACAAAAAAGAGAGGAAAAAGGAATGACTTTCGAAAAGGCCTTTTGGGGGAGATTTTACTTGCACTTCTTTGACGTTTGCTTGAAGATAAAAAAGGAAGATTTTAACAAAATAAACTAAAAAGAAAGAAGGCAAACTCACCAGATATTGTTAAACATGTGAGAAACAACTAAGAAAGTCTTAGTTCGGGCGGAGCCGAACATTAAATACCCGGCGCAAGTATTAAATATATGTTTTTCACCATTCCGAAAGTTACCGCTACATGGTAAGCCGGGGTGTATCAATTTTGAGTACATTAGCGTCCTTAAATTTCGAAATATTGAAGTTTCGAGCATTTCTGAAATTTACCGTTATATGAAAGCGGCCGTAATTTTAGTCCGATTTCAATAATTTTCAACGCTTTTCTTCTATGTGGCAAGCGCAATAACCACACCTAGTTTGGTACAAATTGGTACAACGGTTACCGAGATACATATATGTGATCATAAGCGGGCAGTGCTACGCCTATTTTCCAAAATTTTATCATAAACGTATTTCTTGGTAAAGAATTGTTGCAAGCATCAATTTTGAATAAATTAGCTTTATTATTTACTGATTTATCGAAGATTTAGTATTTCTCTAAATTACCGTTATATTGGATGTGGGCGTGGTTATTGCCAGATTTTAAAAATTTTCGGCCATTTCGTATGTTATACCAAGGCCCAACAACTGTGCCAAGTTTGGAAGAAATTGGTGCAGCGGTTACCAAGATATACACATGTAACCATAAGTGGGCGTCGGTACGCCCACTTTCCAAAAATTTATAATAATCCTATTTTTCGTCTAAAACTTATTATAAATATCAATTTTAAGTGAATAATCTTCAGTAGTTACTAAAATATCGCAGTGTTCGTATTTCTGAAAATTACCGTTAAATGGGAGGTAGGCGTGGTTATTGTCCGATTTTGCCACTTTGTCCATTTTCAATACCATCCGTCCTACGCCCGAAAGAAGTGCACGTACCAACTTTCGTTAAGATATCTCAATTTTTACTCGAGTTATCGTGTCGGCCGCTGTGGTGTAGTGGTAAGCAGTGTGCGCTTCCACTCCGCAAACGCCTGCGTTCAAGCCCTGGTCAAAGCAACATGGCAAAAAAATATAGAAAAAGGTTTTTTCTTAACAGCGGTCGTCCCTCGGAAGGCAATGGCAAACCTCCGAGTGTATTTCTGCCATGAAAAACAGCTTCTCATAAAAATACAATCGCCGTTCGGAGTCGGCGTAAAACTGTAAGTCCCTCCGCNCCCTCGTCTCCTGCCGCTCTTGGTCTGGGACTGCTTATTGGTTATTCGCAGCTAACCTATCGGAGTAGGCCGTTCACGATCCGCCCTGTGTGACTCCGGTAAGGTCCTGAGCTTAGCCCTCACCTGAGCTTATTTTTTTGTTTTTTTTTTTTTGTTCCTAGGAGAGGGAAATGCTTTATGCACTGGCCGGGGGCGCTAGTCTCTATACTACCTTCCCTGAGTGTGGGACTCCCACCGAAGCGTGTTGGGCTACCCACTAAAACCCAAACTCCCACCGCCCGCGCAAGAATCCCGCATCTGGCACCGCAATTCTGCATGTCTTCAGATGCAGGAGCGCGCTGTTAGAGCCTTGGGGCTGCTCTTTTGTAGGGGCGTTTCATTCGGGTGTCCTCAGTAGNGCAAGAATCCCGCATCTGGCACCGCAATTCTGCATGTCTTCAGATGCAGGAGCGCGCTGTTAGAGCCTTGGGGCTGCCCTTTTGTAGGGGCGTTTCATTCGGGTGTCCTCAGTACACAACCGTCCTCTCGTTTGCAGCGGAGTACGAATTTCACGTATCTCGCAACTGCTTCCCACTTTTCTGCGCTGGAAATCATTATCCCAACTATGTTGTCCGGAGTAATGTCTCCGTGTCTTTCTTCCAACATTCTGCGCGAAATCAAGAAGTGTTCGCAGGTGAAGAATGTGTGGTACACGTTATCTTCGACGTTTCCACAGTAGTGACAGAACGGTGAGTCCACCCTTCCCATTCTATGAAGATATTCTCGGAAGTAACCATGACCGGTGAGGAATTGCGTCAGGTAGAAATCGACTTCCCCATGTGGTCTGTTCAGCCATGTTTGAAGGTCGGCTATCAGGGAGTGTGTCCATCGACCTTTTGTGCTCGCGTTCCAGTTTTGTTGCCACTGCTGGATCAGTTGCTCACGCGCCCTTGCCCCGGCAGCTGCTCGAACTATCTCGGCACTGAGATTGTAAATCTCTTTTCGCTCGTAAGCAAGTAGCTCAATTGGCATGACGCCAGAAATAACTAGAACCGCGTCCGCGGACACTGTACGGTATGCAGAAGCAATGCGTAGTGCCCCTCTGCGCTGTACCGAAGACATTTGAACCCGGTATTTTTTGACTTTCAATGCGTCAGCCCATATTTCTGCCCCGTACAGGAGCACCGATTGGACCGCTGTCATCAGAAGCTTCCTGCGGCATGGCTTCGGGCCGCCCACGTTTGCCATCAGCCGGCTTAGAGCCACCGTGCTCTGCGCAGCTTTTTCACATACTCCATGGATGTGTTCCCAGAATGTGAGTTTGCTGTCAAGCTTCACCCCTAGGTATTTTGTAGACCTAGAAGTCGTCACGGGTTGAGGTCCGACCATTATATTTATAATTGTTGGGATCCGTTTCCTGGTGAGGAGCACGATCTCCGTTTTGGCTGTAGCCAATTGCAGACCGTGATCGCTCATCCATCCACTGACNTGTCACGAGTTGAGGTCCGACCATCATATTTATAACTGTTGGGATCCCTTTCCTGGTGAGGAGCACGATCTCTGTTTTGGCTGTAGCCAATTGCAGACCGTGATCGCTCATCCATCCACTGACGTTGCGCATGACCTGGTTTAGCTTGAGCTGTGCTAGCTGGACATTTCTTGCTGTTATGACGGCTGCCACGTCGTCCGCGAAGGCGACAAGGAAGGCGCTCTCCGGCATTTCCGTGCGCAACAGACTGTCATACGTGGCGTTCCAGAGGTCCGGGCCAAGTACAGACCCCTGTGCNAAAAGGAGACAAGGAATGCGCTCTCCGGCATTTCCGTGCGCAACATACTGTCATAAGTGGCGTTCCAGAGGTTCGGTCCAAGTACAGATCCCTGTGCCGCTCCGCCGGTTATACGTCTCTTTCTCTGACCTTGTGTAGTGTCGTACAAAAGCCAACGGTCTCTGAGGTAGTCCCGAATCATATCTAGCAAGTATGTTTGAACCTTGAATGACATTCCAAGGCCTCCAGCGTGACGTCCCATCTTGCCGATTTGAAGGCGTTCTTGACGTCCAGTGTGACTAGGAGCACTATTAGCTGCGCCTGGTGGCAGGCCTCTTTCGGCCTTATGTACCGCCTCGACTACTTCGCCAATTGCTCCTACAGTTGAGTGTCCCTTCCTGAAGCCATGTTGTCGGGGTGAAAGACCTCCCTCGCTTTTTATGGCTGACGTCGACCGTATTTTGAGCAGACTCTCCACCATTTTTCCTGCTGTGTCTAGCATGCAGAGTGGCCGGAAGTATGAAGGAGAGTTTGTGTCCCCTTAGCCCTTGGGTATAAGCACCAGTCTCGCATTCTTTCATTGGTTTGGGACGACCCGGGCCCTAAGGCAGCTGTTGTACATGCTGACCAGGAGATCAGGGCTCGTGTTCGCTGCTAACCTAATTGCCTCCGCTGGTGTGCCATGTGGGCCTGGAGCCTTGCCGGCTTTCATGCTTCGCAGGGCTAGCTTCAGCTCGTCTGTCGAAAACAGTGGTGCCTCGGCTTGCTCCTCGACGAGCACTGTATCTGCTCTTAGTGGGTGTGTGGGAAATAGCGCATCCACTATATTCTTAACTCGGGCCTCATCCATCGCTTGCGATGATGTATGGAACTTTTTCATCACTATTTTGTATCCTTGGCCCCAGGGATCGCGATCCACTTCGTCACATAGCGCTTTCCAGCAGTTCCGTTTACTCTTCTGTATCTCGGCCCCAAGTGCTTTCTTGGCGCTTTTGTAGCGCCTCAGGTCTGCCACAAGCGCGCGTTGCGAGTCTCCGCATTCTATGGCAGGCCCTTCGCAGCTCTGCAATTCGGTCATTCCACCAGTATACCTGCTTTTTACCTGACCATGCTCTCCTCTGTGGCATTGAGGCTTTGCATGCCCGGTGAATGCAGCGCATGGTTTCTTCGACCAGCTTAGTGCAAGACTCCCTGTTGTGGATCTCTCCCGTTGTGGGTGAAATGCCTTGGGAATCTGCTAGTAGTGATGTATCGAACTTGCGAACATCGACCCTAGACGGGTTCCATCCTGGTTTCCTGCGAGGGATACTACGTGTTTGCCCTCGCGTTGTGTCAGTGACTTGGAAGGTGATGTAGTTAATAATCGATGCTCACACACCTTTAGTAACAAATTAAAAAATTTAAAAAAATACAATGTTTACATACTGCTTCTACATTTAGGCTGTAAAAGCCCTTTCTGTTCATAAAGTGTTAGTATCTGTTGACGTCGGTGAAATAATCCCCACATGCCACATTAGGTCAAATGATTCATTTGGCTGTGCGAAAGTCCAATTTTGTAAACGCAGTTTTACTTAATTTTTTGTTGCCATTCTGTAGGGAATACAAGTAACAAAAACTTCATTTTGTTTTTGTAAAAAAAAACTCCGTTAGACAGCAATCAAACAAAGTTACAGTTTTAAAACGTTATTGACAAGTTGTTTGCCCAACCGCTTTATTTCTTAATTTTCAAGTGCATTTTTTTGTATAAAAGGCTAATAATTAAAGCAACATTTGAAATGGAAGACAAAAATACAAGTGAGTACCTATATTCCAATCAAAAAAAGTGACTTTTTATCGTTTCTTTGCAAAAAAAAATGATTTCCTTGCATAACCTCAAAAATTTTCTGAATAACTTCTATTGATGATGTCATGTAAGCTTTTACAATTTTGTTAACTTTTGGCAAACAAAAATTAAAAAGAAATGGATAAATTATGATGTAGTGAGTTGACTTTATTTTACTTAAGCCGCCGTTTTTAGCCGTTTTCAAAAAAACACTGGTTTTTCTAGGTTATCATGCTATTACAAAAGGCGAGTTGTTTGAAGTTTGGCTGCTTGGATGTTCCAAAAAGAAAAGATTTCTTTGGTGGTCAACTATGTTGGAAAAAAAATTGGTGCTGATGATATATGTGAAAATTCCATGAAAGTCGAAGAAGAAAAAACGCGGCTTTTATGCAAATATTTATCAAGCAAATACGAAAAATATGGAAGACAATTTGGAAAGGATGCTAAAAGATGTAGATCAGAAAATATCGCTTTTCTTGCAGATGAGGTTCTTTTCGAATTGAAAAAGCCAGCTGTTCCGACCAGTTCTATGGTTGGTCGCTCAAGAGCTCAATTTTGCAACAAAAGTGAGTTTGGAAAAAGAAAAGAAGCAGCAGAACTATCAAAATCAACAAATTATGAAACGGAGTTACTAGCACGTGCAGCAGCAACTTCGGCTCGAAAAAAAGGAAACTTGGACATGGCTGTAGTTTTAAAAGAAAGCTTAGCAAGCCCAACCAGGCCCTCAAAAATAAGAAAGGTATGTGCTGAGAGCAGTAATAAAGAAATTTCCTTTTCGGCAGAGGAGGCATTAGATTTTCTCTTGGAAAATAACTTTACAAAGGATCAGTACAATGCAATACGTCGCGAAAGTAAACTAAGAAACTGCGATATTTATCCACATTATAACGAAATTGCAGCCGCCAAATTAAAATGTCGACCTAACGACGTAGAGGTAAGCGAAACCATGGTAAGAGCTCC